TTCAAAATAAAAGCACCTTTCAAAGGCAGTACCAGATAAATGACAGATCAATCAGCTTAATGACTTTCAGGTTTGTGTGTGTGTTTTTTTTTTTTCTTATTTTTTACGAGTGTATTTTCTCAGACAGCCTGGGGGATACGAATGAAATCAACCTATTGAAAAAACTGTGATGATGTTTCGCTCGTGAAGTCGTTCAGTTGTAACCAGGTTTATGAAAAATCCTGTCCAGTCAAGACAATGCATTTGCTTATTGAATTGTAGCTCTTCTTCATAGAAAATCCAGCAGTTTTGTGTACCTTGTTGGTTCTTCCATGACCTGCATGACCTCTGAGACGAGGCGTCCAGGACTGATGCACTCTGACATGTTTCCAAATCAACAACTATCATCAGTTTCCATGAGGAAACTCACTCTGTTCAGCATGCAGTCCAAGTCCAACAGCAGGCCTGGAAAAAAAGCTGCTGTATCGTGAATGAGGTAGAGATCACTTTACATCTTTAGAGCAGTTGAGGAAAATTACCCAATAAAAGTACCGCAAAACCGACCAGAGGAAGTGTCATATGTTATTGTTTTCATTGGCACTGGAGTGACAGTGGAGTAGCCCTCCATGGCCAGTGAGATAAAGAGGGGTAAAGTACAGTATTGAGGAAATCTAACACCGCTCTATTGAGGCATGCAGGGATGAGAATGGACTGTGGAGTTTCTCAGCTCATTGTGTTGCACCACCTGAAAGTTTATACAAACAGTCAACTGCACTTTTGCCCTGATGCCCTGAGGACCTAATGCAGGCAAAATCAGTTTTTGTTTGGTTGAGAATTTTTCGTTGGAGCATTAATCACAGTACATGTGCTTTAATTCCATTTTGATCTATGACTAATCTTTTGTAACCAAAATCAAGAGAAACAAGATAATGACATGATGAAGTGAAATATTTCTCAATCTGATTGTAACTGTGCTGTGGAGTAACTCAGTCACCGTGTCATTCATGAGAATGACCTACATTAACGCAGGTGAAATAGAGGCCCAGAACTCGAACTCGGGAAACCATTCACCACACCAAAGAATGCAAGTGAAATGCAAAAACATTAAAAAAAAATTTATCGTTTTCATGCAAGAATTTCCAGTCCTCTATATTCTTGTCTTACAACTTTGATATTCTGTGCTGCTGAAAGATTCCATTTTTACCCCTATGGTCCAAAATTATTGGTGTGAACAGGCCTTCAATGCCTTAATGCTAAGTTTAATTAACATTGCGAATGAGATTAGACCAAAACTATGAGAAGGGAAAAATTGGTCATAATATTCCAAAAATGGCCTCCAGTGCCAAACTGTGCCCCACATATGCAGGTAAAATGAGGAACTAGATTGCTACGTCAGGTCTGAATCCTCTGTAGCCTCAGTTATGAAACGGTTGGCCCATCATAAAAAATGAACATAAAATCAAAAGGTCTGATTTGAAGAACATATTTACCCTGTATCACATTGAAAATAGTTGAACAACACTTTAGTTTAAGCTCTACCAGCTGAAATTATTTTTTGTTGAAAATATATAATTTTGTGACTGCAAGAGTCCAAAACATTCGGGACAGTCGACTGTTCACCGGCGCATGACGTCATCATGTCTTCTGATCACACTCAGCGTTTTAACGATCAAGATGCCAGTTCTGACACTCAAGTCTCGTGAGAGGAATTCCCCTCCCGTTTCACGTTATTTCCATTAAGCCCCCTGGGCAGATGTACAGGGCCTTCGATGTCCCATATTTCGCTTCATAATGCACCATACAGTCTCAATCGATCAGACAGGTCCATCTAGCACCGCACCCTCTGCTTACGCAGCCACGTGCTCGTTATCCTTGTAGAATACGGTTCAACGTTGTCTTGCTGAAAAAATCAGGGACATCCCCGGAACAAACAACATCTCGATAAACCAACTTTTTAGTAATTGGGTTTGTAAGATCAAAATGTACTTAAGCAAGGGCCAGACAAACCTCAGTGTTTTAGATGGTGTTATCATGAGTACAAGTTGAGATCTTTGACTTGTTTAGTTATTTCTTCTGTTTTGCTTGTGTAAGGGTGCATGAAGGTCCTTGTTCATGAAATGTGTTTTGTGAGTCGAATGATGTTGAATGTTGATGAACAAAAATAATTTGTCTGAAAAAAAAAGATGACCTCGAAAGGAGCAGGAGGTCCATCGTCTCAGTGTGAAAGTTTGCTGGGTAAATGAGAGTTAGTCCCAGGCATCAGTGGTCGGGCAGGGAGCAGTTCTGCTGCCTCACAGCGTAGGGTTTTTATCTCGACTGAAGTCCTCTCTGCCTGCCTTCTCCTTCATGTGGGTTTCACCTGTCACCTGAGTTATACAATTTCCAACCACAGTCTGAAGACATGCAGTGGTTGCCTACCATCTTCCTGAAGATCTGCCACCCTGTGGGCATTTACTCTGGCTCTAAGAAAGCACACCTCATTCAGCATTTACAGATCTTCCTCGGCTGCTCATCGTAGAGACAGGATTGGAAGGATCTTTACTGGGCCAATAGGAGATTTAATGGGCCAGTTTCACACATGGATTAAGCTTGCTCTGTCTAAAGTGTGTCAGTTATGGAGATTCCAGTTAAGGGTTAAACTATATCTCTGTAACTGGCTTTCAATCACTCATATATTTGAGTGTTTCTGTGAAAGGTGGGTGTGTCCTAACGGGTCATATTCCTACCTCTCACCCACCTCAGCTAGGACAGGCTGAAGCTACTGAAGGTATTCCAACCTCGTTTCCAGAAAAGTTGGGACATTGCGTAAAATGTAACTAAAAACAGACTGCAGTGATTGGCAAATCATTTGAACTCTTTAATAAACATATATATATATATATACAATATATATATATATATATATATAAAACAACATATCAAATGATCAAATGTTGAAATTTAGAAATTTTATTGCTTTTGAAAAATATCTGCTCATTTTGAATTTGATGCCAGCAATATGTTTTCAAAAAAGTTGGGACGGGGCCATGTTTACCACTGTGTTAAATAATCTCTTCTTTTAACAACTCCCTGTAAGTGTTTTGGAAATGAGGAGACCAATTACTGCGGTTTTTAAAACAAAATGGTTTTTTTTTTTCATTCTTGCTTGATTTTAGATTTCAGCTTCTCAGCACTTTTGCTGACTCTTTTGTCACTTTTTTTCTTCTCATAATGCACCAGATTTTTCAATGGGTGACCCGTCTGGACTGCAGGCAGGCCAGTTTAGCACCAAGACTCTTTTACTACGGATCCATGATGTTGCAACACGAGCTCAATGTGGTTTGACATTCTCTTGCTGACTTAAGCAAAGCCATACCACACTGTAAAAAATGATTCTGTGGTCCTGCCTATTTTAATTAAAGTATTTGATCAAATATATCCTATATAAATGAGTCCTTGATTTTGTAGTAACTATTTGAATAAATTTCAAATAAAAATGTTTGGAATAAAATCCGTTTATTCTGTTTAAATAAAACAAAAGCTTTTTATTCAAATCATTCTAAATAGAGAAAATATTGAATGAATCCAACTTAATGGAATCAGTTAGTTTTTCATTGACAAGCACTTCCTGTTCCCGGATTTGGATGCGACATGCAAACGAATTATGCAAATTGCGAGCGCTTCTCTTCCTGCGCTTTACTCTCCTGTTTAACCCGGTTGACAAAGGTAAGGAGACTCATACCAGCCAAGTAACAACACAATTTTACATATATGCGCATATTACAATAGAAAATATGCAGTAACGTTATAGCATGATATTTTTCTTACCGTACCTTAGGTGAGTTGTTTCTTGGTAATCTCACCTTAAAATATAGGTCAGAACACCATCACAAATCTAATATGTAGATTTAATTAAATGCATTGAGTAAATTCAAAGAAATAAACTACTAAATGTAAATCATTACTACCCAATGATGTTTCAGTGATGCGTAGAATTTAATTATGTTTTATTAGTACATTTTACAAATTTTGGCATTTTTAATATTACACAATACTTTTGTTTAGGTTTTAATGAAATCTTTTGTGTATTGTAGTTAAATTTACTCACACTAAATGGATAAATCTAAAGGGCCTTATTTAATTAATATTTACTCAATAGCAAATGTAATTATATTTCATTAATATTATTGCATGCAATCTGTTGCCTTAATTTTATTGAGTAGATATGGGGTATCTTTTCTTACAGTGCAGAACAAGAACCCTGGATGACTGTATATGTTGCTCCAAAACCTGTATTTATTGTTCAGCATTAATGCTGTCTGCACATATATGCAAGTTATCCATGCCACAAGCACTAATGCACCCCCCATACTCTCATGGATGCTGGCTTTTGAACTGTGCCCTGATAAAAAGCCTGATGTTCCCTCTCCCTCTTAGTGAGAGGATGTGGCATCCTTGATTTCCAAAAAAAAAATTTTGATTTTGATTGGTCAAACCACTGGATAGTGTTCCGTTTCATCTCAGGCCATCATAAATGATCTTAGCCCCAGAGAAGGTGGCATCGTTATTTCTACCGTAAAATTTTAACTTGCATTTTTGGATGCAGTAACAAACTGTGCTCACTGAGAATGGTTTTCAGAAGTGTTCCTGAGCCCATGCATTGATTTCCACTACAGAAACCTGTTTGATTTTAATGCAGTGCCACCTGAGGACCTGAAGATCACAGCCATTCCAATGCTGGGCTTTCGCCTTCTCCCTTGCACACAGAGATTTCTCTGGATTCTCTGTATGATTTGATGAAATACATACCATAGATGATTAAATCCCCAGTCACTTTGCAATTTCATTTTTAAATTGTTGAACAATTTTCCCATGCAGTCTGTCACAGAGTGGTGAAGCCCTCAGCATCTTCTGAAAGACTCAGCCTCTCTGAGATGCTCTTTTCATACCCATTTATGTCACAGGCATGTTGCCAATTCATCTAATTAGCCGTGTGATGTTGCACCAGGTACATTTTTTTTTTGGCATGATAAAACACGGGCGGCATGGTGGCGTAGTGGTTAGCACTGTCACCTCACAAGAAAGTCGTGGGTTTGAATCCGGCCTGGGGCCTTTCTATGTGGAGTTTGCATGTTCTCCCCGTGTTTGCATGGGTTTCCTCTGGGTTCTCCGGTTTCACCCACCCACAAAAACATACATTATCGGAACACTCCTACCGGTACCCCTGACTAAGGAACTGACTTTAGAACTGGAGTTGGTCCCCGGCGCTGCTCAGTGGCTGCCAACTGCTCCTAACTGTAGGATGGCTCAAATGCAGAGGACAAATTACCCCACGGGGTTCAGTAAAGTGTATCATTTCCAATCTTTTATTGCCCCTGTCCCAACTGTTTTGAAACACGTGGCTGTCATCAGGCCATCATAAATATTTGCTATGTAATGTGGGGAAAAAAAAAGCCACTAGATGGCAGTATTGACATTTTTTTTGTTATGCCCAGTCTGGAGCTAGGTTTTGGGGCATGCCCCGGGCATGCCTCAGAGGGGGCTGGACAAGAGTATATAAGGAGAAAAATTGAGAGAGTGAAAGGGGAGAAGGAGAAATTGCAAGGAGAAATTGTGGAAGGATACATTTGACCAGACCTGTCACTCTTTTCAAGACCTGTGAAGCTTTTTGTGGATTTTTGCCTGTGTTGGAGCATTTTCTTGTCCCAGGACATCGCAACACAGCTGCCCATCTCAATTACCAGGGGACTGTAAATATCTCGTTTTTTTTTTTTTTAATTTCAATCTTGGTCAGTAGGGTAGATTGTAGATTAGTTCTAAGTGTTTGTTTAATTAAATCTGTTGAAGTTTAAGAATTTTGTTTGTCATCCCTTGCTGTCCGTGACGTCATAACAAATTGACACCATAACAAATTGGGGCCACAACAAACTGGGGGCTCAGGTCCGGGATAGACCATTGTGTGAGTCATTTATTGAAAATCTAAAATTTCAAATTGTGAAATTTTTTTTTGAATTTTCCTAGATATATATTGGCAGATCAACAGCAATGGATGATTTCTTAGCATCACCAACCGTAGAGGTTTTGAAGTCTTTTAAAAAGACAGAACTGCTAGAAATATGCAGACAATTAGAGCTGACAGATGTAAAACCAGCCATGCGAAAAGCAAGACTGGCTAGAGAGATTGTTGGATATTACATTGATGAAAATGTGTTTGCACCAGGAGATCTGGAACAGTTTCCAGTAGAAAATCCAAATGTAGAATTGGAACTTAAATTAAAAATGCTAGAGATTGAAAGGGAGGAAAAAGAAAAACAAAGAGAGTTTGAGAGAGAGAAAGAGAAAAGAAAGGGAGGAAAAAGAAAAACAATGAGAGTTTGAGAGAGAGAAAGAGGAAAGAGCAGAAAGAGAGAGACAGAGACAGAGAGATTTCGATTTAGAAAAATCAGACAGGGAAGAATGGAGCAACTAAAAATTAAAATGGAAGCCGAAAACAAATTTCGGGCTAGCCAGGAGATAAAGCTGGTGCCTCCATTCTCAGAGAAGGAGGTTGATAAGTATTTCCAGTGCTTCGAGAAGGTAGCTAAGAGTTTTCAGTGGCCAAAGGAATACTGGCCTCTGATGTTGCAAACTGTCCTCAAGGGTAAAGCTCAACAAGTCTATTCGGCTTTGTCTGCAGATGATTCCTCTGATTATGAGGTTGTCAAAAAGGTTATTTTGACAGCTTATGAGTTGGTTCCAGAGGCTTACCGACAGAAATTCAGAGGTCTGAAGAAGTCTGACAATCAGACTTATGTGGAATTTGCTAACGAGAGGAAGTTTTGCTTTGAGCGCTGGTGTACTTCTATGGAGGTCAAGGATGATTTCAACTCACTAAAAGAGATGGTGTTAGTTGAAGAATTCAAGAACTGTGTCAAGGATGATACTAAGACCTACCTTAATGAGAAGCAAGCACTGAATTTGCAATCAGCTGCCAAGTTTGCAGACGAATATGTTCTCACACATAAGTCCAAATTTCAGTCTAGCAGTAACAATAGATGGTCCCAATTTCAGAAGAAAGGTAATGGTGATACCCAAGATTCCTCACCCAAAGACAAAGACAAATCTGGTGAATCCAATCAAAGGTCTGATCGAGGTGTGAAAGCTGACAGTGACAAAAGTGGTCTAGTTTGCAATTATTGCAAGAAATCTGGTCATACTACAACTAACTGTTGGTTCCTTAAAGCTAAGAAAGAAAAAGAAAAGGATACCAAACCCAATGCCTTTGTGAAGACAAGGTTAGAAACCCCTGTAGTAGATGACCGATCTGCTAAATTGCTTGCTCCTTGTGAGGCTAAGAAGCCTGATACTGCTGACTTTGTGAGGGAGGAATTTCTTCCATTTGTGTCAGAGGGATTTGTGGCTCTGAATGAGCATTCTCCTCCTGTCCCCATATATATCCTAAGGGATACCGGAGCTTCTCAGTCACTTTTGTTGATGGACTCCTTGGAGTTACGTGATGAGACCGCTTCTGGGGATTTCATACTTGTACAAGGTATTGAAGGGAGGACTGTATCTGTACCCCTGCGCTCTGTATCTTGACGTCAGATTTAGTTACAGGACAGGTAAAGGTAGGACTTATGTCAAGTCTACCTATCAAGGGTGTTTCTCTGTTGCTAGGCAATGACCTGGCTGGGGGCAATATAGTTCTCCCTGTTCATCTTACTTCACAGCCGAGCACTGAAGATGGCGATGAAGACCCATCTCTGTATCCTTCCTGTGCAGTGACCCGTGCTATGGCCAAGAAGGCTCAAGAAGAAGATGATGTGGTGCCGTCCAGCACATTGAATAGTCATGACTCAGGTGGTTCGCCTCATGACTCTGTTCAGCCTACTATGGTTTCTCCGTTTGAGGACTTATCAGACACTTTTATCAGTTCTCTGTTCAGCCAGCCAGATGGGTCTAAATATGTGTCTTTTTTTTTAAGCGGTTTTCAAAATGATCCTGAAATTTGTGTACTAAAGAAGAGCCCCCTGATGAAGAAATAGGGTAGATTATCTCAAGGATGGAATATTGTTCGGAAGTGCCCTCCTGATTTGTTTAGCAATTAAATCTGTTACAGGAAGTTTAACAATGGCTCAATTTTGTCATCTTAGTGTTAACAAGACTGTTGACAAGATCATGAAACACTTCTTCTGGCCTGGAACAAATGTTTCCAACTTTTGCAAAACCTGTACAAGCCATCATGGACTTTCCAGTTCCTGACAACAAGGTTTATGTTTGTACACAGCAAAAAATGATTTTTCCTAAAACCTTAATGTTTTGAGTAAGATGAAAAACATTGAATCTCAGTTTAAAGGATTTGACTTGGAAATTAAGCATGTCATGACAAACCATTTTCCATTATATATATATCACATGTGTTTAAAGCATATTGTATTATATGTATATATATACACAAGTGTCTACTTAACCATTTTGTATTTTCAAAATTTTTTCCCTTTTGGAATGCATTTTACACAGTATTGACATTTTTTTGTTTCCCAACTAGGTTTGGGGCATGTCCTGGGCATGCCTTTGTATATAAGGAGAAAAATTTGAAAGGGGAGAAGGAGAAATTGCAAGAAGAAATTGTGGAAGGATACATTTGACCAGACCTGTCACTCTTTTCAAGACCTTGAAGCTTTTTTGTGGATTTTTTGCCTGTGTTGGAACATTTTCCTGTCCCAGGACATACATAACACAGCTGCCCATCATACCAGGGGACTGATTTTTTTTTTTTTTTTTAATTTTGATTAGCTTTTTAGTTCTAAGTGTTTGTTTAATTAAATCTAGTTGATAAAATTTTGTCTGTCAGGTTATTTGGTTGGTTGGGGCCATAACAGCTAAATGAGCAAATATTTTCCTAAAAACCAATAAATTTCTCAGTTTAAACTATATTGTCATCAAACCATTTTCCATTAAATGTATGGTTTAAAACAAATCCCATTCTTTTTTATTTGCATTTTTGTTTCCCAACTTTTCTGGAAAGTATTTTATTATTATTATTATTAAACTTGAATTTTGATTAGCTTTTTGCCTCCCTAGTTGATAAAAGGTTATAAGGTTATTTGGTTGGTTTCTGAAGAGGAGCCCTCCTTAGTTCTTCCTGAACATCCCATATTGCACTTGTGAAGTTTGAAAACTTTAACCCCTTAACTGTCACCTGCATTTTCTCACATTTGGCCTGGCCTTAATTAGGGCCCAGTGACAGTTAAGGGGTTTTGCTGAACAAAAACTGTAGAACAGGATAAGGTTCCCTCATGGAATCACAGAGCAGTGGGGCTGTTCATTTTGTGTGTGTGTGTACGTGTGTGTGTGTGTGTGTATGTGTGTGGAAGAGTGCGTTTGGGAATCAAGTGTCACATCATGTAATACAAACCAGCCTTCTGTCAGAGGATCGCGGCAGAGCCGAGGTTCAGGATTTGCCTCCGCCAATGGGAATTCTGGGCAGGCGGGAAACAGGGCACGGGTAAGACCTATCCGAGGCGTATCTGGGGTGAAGAGGAAGTGATGCGGCCTGCAAATGTGAGACGTGACGCAAGCTACACCCACCCCTGTCCCGAACACGGAGGAGTACGAGTGCAGCGCGGCGAGAGAGAGGAGCAGCTGAGTAACTGCTGAAGTGGCCTGGCCTCCCCACGGGTGACCTACATACTCAGGCCTTCCTCTCACTGCACCTTTCTCACAGACAAGATAAGAAGACCGTAAACGTCTTCGTCTCCTCGAAGGATATCCGGCTGGCTTGGCCTTTAATCATTTTAATTATCTCATTACCAGAATCCGACGGGCCCCAGCTGTCTATAGCTTGCAGTGACTCAAACTGTAAATGAATTTAAAGATTTTGGTGGTTCTCATGCTCCCAGCACAGGACTGATGACGACTAGCCTGAATAGCTTGTATGTTCAAGTGTGCTGCCCTTGCAGTTATGGTCATACACTGAAGTCCGCAAATAACATAGCATTACATGAGTGGATAGAACAGGCCATTCAGCCCAATTAGGCTCGCCAGTTTCTTATTTCCATTGTGAATCTATCACTTCAGATACTCAATGACTCAATGGTATCTACCACTAAATCAAGCCTGCTCTTGAAAAC